ATCAATGCCCATGGAAGCAGCATTGTAGAAATCAGATGACATATTGCAGTGGGCAAATGTGTTGTAAAAGACCTAAAAGTGTTACAGAACAAAGATGTCACTTTGAAGACTAAGGTGCACTTGAATCAAGCCATGGTATTTTTAATCACCTCACATGCATTTGAACGCTGGGCAATGAATAACCAAACTCACTGCTGTTGAGTCGATTCTGATTCATAGCAACCCCTCTTTGGGTTTCTGAGGCAGTATTTCTACAGAAGTGGATTGCCCAATCTTCCTTCAAGGAACCAGTGGGTTTGAACCACCAGCCTTCTTGTTAGCAGTCAAATGCCTTAGGCACTATGCCACCAGAGCTCCTGGACAATGAATAAAGAAGACTGAAAAAGAATTGATGCCTATGAATTGTGGTGTTGGAAAAGAACACTGAAAACACCATGGACTACCAGAAAGACAGACAAATCTGTCTTGGAATGCTTGTTAGAAGCAAGAATGGCCATTAGTTATCTCATGTACTTTGGTCACGTTGTTAGAAGGGACCAGTCCCTGGAGAAGGGTATCATATTAGTAAAGAAGAAGGTCAGCAAAAGAGGGGCAGACCCTCAACAAGATGGATTGACACCATGACTAACAATGGGCTAAAGCATAGCAAGATTTGTGAGGATGGCACAGGACCAGGCAGTGTTTCATGCATTGTACATAGGGTCTCTATGAGTCTGAGCCAACTCAATGGCATCTAACAACAATTCACCTATCATCTGTCTGTCTATATCATCCATCATCTATCTCTTAGATTTATAACCAAACCAAAACCTAACTCACTTCCGAGTTGGTTCTGACTCATAGCAACTCCTCCTTGGCTTTCCGAGGTGTTATGTCTATGGAAGTAGATTGCCCAATTTTGTTTCCAAGAAGTGGCTAGTGGGTTTGAACCACCAGCTTTCTGATTAGCAGGCATTATAGTGTTGTTGAAATTCTCTCTTTACTTATTGACCTTATTTATACATGTTCTAGTTATTATTGAAAGTGATGTACTGATGTCTCTAACTATTATTGTAAAGCTATTTCTCCCTTTAGTTTTGTCATATATCTTGGTCCTCTGATGTTAGGTGCATACATATTTATAACTGCTATATCTTCTTCATGAGTTGTCCCTTTTATCATTATGTAATTCCCTTCTTTTTGTCTTGTAACACATTTTGACTTAAATTCTATTATATCTGGTATTGGTATAGCTATTCCAGCTCTCTTTCGGTTTCTACTTGCATAGAATGTTTTTTTCCCCACATCCTTTCACTTTTAACCTAATGGTGTTTTTGAGCCTAAGACTGCCTCTTACATTCAGCATATAGATAGACCATGTATTTTGATCTATCCTGCTAATCTCTGCCTTTTTGGAGAGTTTAATACATTTACATTTAAAGTGATTACTGCTAACAAAAGATTTACTTCTGACATTTTGGTGTTTCTTGTGAGACTTATGCTATTTTTTGTCTCTCATTTTCCTCAATGATGCTTTCTTTTGTGTTTAGCTGATTTTTTGTAGTGAGCTATTCTGATTCCCTTCTTCTTCCCCTTATGTATATGTTTTTAGATACTTTGTTGTTACCATGTGTATTACATTTATCATCCTAGATTTATAACAATCTAGTTTAAATTGATACCAACTTAACTTCAGTAATGTACAAAAACTCGTTTCCTATACTGCATCTCTCCCCCATTTATGTGTTGTTATCTGATCACATCTTTATACATAATATACCAATAACATAAATTTACACTTTTTTAAAATTCATTTTTATTATAAAGTATGCAAGACATGACAACTAGATTTGCAACCCAAAATACCACAAAACTGGCCTTTTTATTTGCCCATGAAATTACCATTACTGAACATCTTGTTTTCTATATATGGCTTCATCTTACTGTTTAGTGTCTTTTCCTTTCCATCTGAAGAACTTCTTTTAGCATTTATTCGCAGGCAGGTCTAGTCATAACAAACTCCCTCAGCTCTATTTTATCTGAGAATGTCTTAATTTTGCCCTCATTCTTGATGACCAGTTTTGGCAGTTATAGAATGCTTGGTTGACACTTTTTTCTTTCAGCACTTTAAATATGTCATTCTGCTGTCTTCTGGCCTCCAAGGTTTCTGAGGAGAAACTGACACTCAATCTTACTAAGGATCTTTTGTTTGTGACAATTTGCTTGTCTTTTGCTACTTTCAGAATTTTATTATCTTTGATTTTCAAAAGCTGGAGTATAATGTGTCTTGATATAGACCTCTGGGTTTGTCATATTTGGAATTCATTAAGCTTCTTGGAATTGTAGATTCATATCCCTCATACAATTTGGAAAATTTTCTGCCATTATTTCTTCAAAAATTCTTTCTGTCCCTTTTTCTTTCACTTCTCCTTCTGGGATTCCCATGAAAGTTAGCTCACTTGATGGTGTCCTACAATTCCTTTGGATTTTGCTGGTCTTTCTTGATGCTTTTTTGTTTGCTTTTCCAATCCAATTGATTTTGATTGCTTTATCCTCTAGTTCAGGAGCTCTGGTAGCATAGTGGCTAAAGCACTTGACTGCTAACCAGAAGGCTGGCGGTTCAAACCCACCAGCCACTCCTCGGAAGGAAGGTTGGGCAATCCTACTTCCGTAGTGATACTGCCTTGGAAACCCAAGGAGGGGTCGCTATGAATCGGGGCCGACTCGACGGCACATAACAACAACAACAACATCCTCTAGTTCACTGATTCTTTTTTTCTACCAGCTCAAATCTGCTGTGAATATTCTAGAAATTTTTCTATTTCTGTTATTGCATTTTCCAATCCCAGTATTTGTTTTCTTTTTACACTCTTTATCAATATCCTCATTTTGTTCATGTATTGTTTTCATAATTTCCTTTAGTCTTTGTCATGTTTTCTTTTAGTTATTTGAGGATATTTAATATTGTTGTTTTAAAGGTTTCTAGTTTGTCTATTATCTGAGCTTCCATATGACAATTTCTGTCTCTATTCCCCCTCCCCATATGAATGGGCCATTCTTTCTGGTTTCTTTGTATTCTTGGTGGTTTTTTGTTGAAAATAGGACATTCCAATATTATAATGTGATAGCTAAAAGCTTCAGATTTTTCCCCTTCCTTGCAGTTGGAAATATGTATACACACACACACATTGAAATTTGTAATAGTCCATCTGTTTAGTGACCTCCTCCAACTAGTTTTTGCAATGACTGTCCTCCTGGACAGGTGTGGACACCAAGGACTCTGTTCCCCAGCACATGCCCCACAAGTGTTTCAAAAGAAAGTTTTCTGTACTCCAGTGAAAAAGGGGGTGAAAGATCCTGTGAGGCTCACAATTTTTAGCTTAAGCCTCAATCTACTCTCCACACAGGACTATTGTAATCATCTGTGTCTGTTTGAGCAATCTTAGCTCTCATTTACATGTCCAATCAAAGCTGGCCTAAGGGTGGGATTACATACCTTTTGTTTATACACACTGATAGTCAGGGAAACATACCCTATTTAGACACAATATTTCACTCATAGAACACTCAGATAAATATAATCATTTCACATAAAGCCTGTTTAAACATTCTGGTGTTCATCCAAATTTCTCTTCTTATTCCCTGACCTGCTAGTCATTCATAGGCATATGGCTTTAGGTCCTTGGCTGGAGTGGGCACCAGAAGATGCTAACCGCTTGTCAACCATCTTGATTGACTTAATGAGCTCTTGCCCTGAGCCATTCCATGTGGAGCTTCTTTTTCCTCTCTGTCCTTTTGGAAATCAGTTTTCCTACCCATTGCTTTGGCATAACCTTTACTCCGGAAAACAGCTCCAAGGCTTATGGCTGTGTCTCATGCTGGGCAGAATCTAAACTTAGCCCTGCCTCAGAATTCTTCAATAGGGGTCTTGTGGCTACTGGTGCCACTCCAGACTGGCCAGAATCCAAACATGGCTCATCTCTTACTTTCATTTAGCCATTACAGATAGCACCAACCAAAAGTAACCATCCAAGAATGAAACCTTCTCATTTGCTGCCCATTCATCTTGTCTCTTCCAAGACTCCATAGTTCCAGGAATTAGGGTTGTTCCTGGTCCCTTCTGTCTCACATCCTTATCCACTGAGGACTCAGTCAGTGGGCACCAGATGCAAGTTTGGGAGTCCACATCATTCCTTCCATGTCAGACCAGCCAGCCTCTTCTCTTTCATTCCCCAGCCACCCAGGTGTAGGTCACAGTACACAAGTTAAAAGGACACAGTCCTTCAAACTGTCAACTAGGCAGACACGAGTCTATGCTGGCTCTCACTGCTCCTGAGGGTTCACCAATTCCCAGAACGACTCACAGAATTCACAGAAAGTATATACATTATAGCTACTGATTTGTTATAACCAGCAAGGAGACACACAGACAGATACATAGGGAGAGTTCCAGGAGATGTCCTGCTGCAGTGCTTCCACTGTCCCCAGGAATGTACAACCCTCCTGACAGATGTTCTCACTATTCAGGAAGCCCCAGCTACTTCCATGCTCAGGGTCTTTTATTGGCCTCATAGCATATTCATGATTAAGGCCTCACTGAACATGTATGATTGACTAAAACATGCTATAATCATGTGTGATCTCTGGAATCCCCACTCACTTACACAAATTCTCAAGTGTTGACTAATGGTTTTATGTCATAAAGTCCCTTCAACTGCTCAGAAAATTCTAAGGATTATCTCTCAGGAATCAAGAACAAAGGCCAACTTATTATAGGTAAGGTAGTTCATTACCACACAAGAGGCATAAGTATTTAATGGTTACTATTTATTGTTATTTGTTTTTACAAAAGAAGTCTCAGTTCCTTAAGCGTAATATCTGTGCACATTTCACTACTTATCATCAATAATTCTCAGGACTTTCAGAACCCTATTCATTTAACACATAGTTTTTTTTCTTCTTTTAATTATAATAAATATTATTGTTGACTGCAAAATTCTAAAGATGCAAGTTGTGATCCATCAAACAATTCGTCCAAGGTATACAGATTTGGGATACTTCTCCTTAAGAGTCGGCCACTGGACAATGAAGTAATCTGAGAGGTAATACAGAATCTTTCCGGACAGGGATAAAGTTTCCACTCGGCAGATGCTTTCAACGTAGACAATGATCACTTTCTTTACTCCTAGTATCCCAAGGAGAAGGGCAGATATACAGATAGGTACACATGTTCCTGGTCCATTACATAAAACCTTAAGGGAGAAAAAAAAAAAAAAAAAAGGCTGAAGGTCAAATTAAAATACAAAATACCAATATATATGAGGCATTTTGCATTATGAACAGTCAGATCTTAGAGAGTTTTAAAAATTATTCTCAGTCTTGGATTATTCTTTGGGTCATCTTGGCTTTTCCACTTACCCACTGTGTGACCTGGGTTAAATCAATTAGCTTCTATGTACCTGGGCAACCTCCTGAGTTGATGGGAGGTACCTAGCACAGTGCCTGGTGCTCAGTCAGTACTCACTGATAGAACTTGTTTTGTTCTTCTCCAACGGGGATCTTGAATATCACACAAATATGTAGAAAACAGATAAAGTAAATTAAGATTCATTAGGCTTTCTTTTGTGTACCAAGTTGTTCTTGTTGGCTTTTGAAAAAAATACTTTAAATATAGTTGGAACACCAACATGTAAGATGTTGCAGAGAATGTCTTTAAATAACTAAATTCCTAGAATATTTTTGTGGGATATGGAATCATTTTAGGGGTTCATTCCAACAAATGAGAAATTTGAGAGAAGGCTACCAAATGAATGAGACTCTTTCAGAGGGTCGTAATCTATGCTTATAATACAAAAGAGTTTTAATGCTTTTAAGTTCTGCTAATTTTTATAGGAAGAGCCCTGGTGGTGAATAGTTAAAATGTTTGGCTGCTAAGCAAAAGGTTGGGAGTCTGAACCCATCAGCCTGCTCCATGGGAAAAAGATTGGCAGTCTGCTTCTGTTAAAAAAAAATAATGAAATAAAATTATAACCTTGGAAATCCTATGGGGCAGGTTCTATTCTGTGTTA